AGTGTATTACATTGCTTTTTCAAAATGGAATGCCATGCATGTCAGTCAATACAGAGACATTAATCTCCCCGCTTCAACGTTCAATATCTTTTCTATGTTTTCCCCAATCATTATTATTATTCTAATTATTTTTTAAAACAGTCAATCGCTATTTCTCATTTTGCTTGTAAAAATACTTTGCCCATCATGAAGTACTTCTGAGTGTCTTTTGAGAATTATGCTCATTTAAGAGATTGGTTTTTGCTTAGCAGCTTTTCCAAGACTCTGCTCATCTTTTAGATGTCAAGAAAAAATATTCTTCAGTGAATTTTGTGGATGTTAAAATTAGCATTCATGGAACACCTGAGAAGTGTCAGGCATAGTGGCGTGGAGTAGGGATCTGAGGAAGAGCATCACCCTCACTCAGGGGGAGGGAGACCAACATCTCTTGGGTGTCTGGTATGTTTTTTTCTTTCTTCATTTTATTTTTTAAGAGAAATTTTTAGTATAGGGTATGTGTGCTCGCAGGAGAGAAAGACAAAAAGATAGAAAGCAAGAAATCACTCCATAGGGGGGACGGCTACATCACAATCCCTTCTCCTCCACTCTCCTTTCAGGAGAGTACAGAGAGACCTTAGAATATGAATCCAGCCCTTCCGTGGGTCAGCATCATGGAGTGCTGTGTTATAATGCACCAATGCAGTTGGCTGGGTTTATTTTTTATTTATTTATTTTATTTATTATTATTTTTTTAAATGTATGGAAGAAATTTTATTTTGCTTTGAAAGGTTTTAATTTCACAATATATAACCTTGGCACAGAAAGGCCCTATTAAAGTGTTACAAATTGCTTAATAAGATCAATATTTAGGTTGATTGATGAGGCTTTCAGATATTAAGTATGAGAAAGCTAATGGTTATCAGGATTTGCATACGTGATCACAATCAAAATGATAAAATAAACCAAAGACTGAAGTTTAACACCCCCAAAAGATAATTGCAATTTCTAGTGAAACATTTATTCTTATCCTATGTTCATTTCCATCTTTTACTTTCATTTTATATTGACTTTTAAAAAAAATACGGACTACATAAAATCTTTTGTGTTATCTTTTCAATCCTAATACTAATCTCCTATTGTATCTCTATTGTTTTGTCATCTAGAGTATGATACCCTTATTAAGCCAGTTATACTTACTAAAGTTTGTGAATGAAAAAAGAGAAGACAAATAATAATTAGTTCACTGATCCTCATTCAATTTTAGAAAAATTATGTCCCTAAAATAGTAATGCTGCCTGGTAAATTCTTTCCATGCCTAAACAGAAATGGAAAGAAAAGTGAAATTATGAGAAAGCTATGGCAGTTTATTAGACACTGTGTTTTTAATAGTTCAAAACTGATGATACTTAATAATCAAGAGTAAATTAATAGGCTAACATGTAAAAATGCATACTTTACTAAGTATAAAGTATATAAATAATTAGGTAAGCTTGGAGCTGACCAAGATACATAAATTAGGAGATACAAGTGTCTATCTAAATATTCTATATTTCTCTTTTTTACAGAAAATTTATTAAAGTAAATTGTTTAATATACAATTTCTCATTTGTCATTTTAGAAGTCCTTTATTGCAAAGACAATTCTTCTTTCTGATGCAAACAGCAGCCACAGTGATTACTCTGGGACACCACGTTGGTTAAATTCAGTTTCTTCTTGAGACACCAGTTTCCTTCTGTATTTTGGAGGTTACGTTTTTATTATTTCTGCCATGTCTGGTGGACTCTGATACATCAGCAAATCTGGCGATTTACTTCCCTTAGAATGCTGTGAAACTGCAGAAGAATGGGATGGCAGCCCTACTGACCTCAAAGCTTCTGATACATTCATTGGGTTAAGGATGGTCTCTTCTGTCAGGAAACCTTATTAATGGTGTATGTGGCTTCACTACCTGCACGACCCTGCTAGCAGACGCCATCTTGATGCCCATCATGACCCCAGAGAAGGGGCAGCTTCTGGGAGGCTGGGTTTATTTTAATGTATATGTTTTAGTCTTTTAAAAACTTTTGAGGGGCCAGCCAGTTGGTATAGTGGTTAAGACTCTGGATCCCACATGACTGACTAGACAGTTTGAATCCCAGATCCAGCAGTTTGAAAAGCAGACTGGGTGCATGTGTGTGCATGCCCAAAATCCCAAGAGGAGAATGGAGGAGAGGGAATTGTATCATGGACATCACCCTTGTTTTCTCACATTCCCTCTTTCTTTCTCTCTGTTTCTCTGATAAGCACATGTGGTCTATAGCAAATAAAAATAAAAAAACTTTCGAAATTGAATTTATGGAATATTTATAAATATAGGCAGAAGAGTATAATGAGCCCCCACAGACTGGCAGCATTCAATTTCAGTCATTATTTTATGACCAACTGATCCCCTCCTTCATTTCTCTTTATGTTATTTTGAAAAAGATCCAAGATGTATCATTTCATATATAAATATGTAAATGTATAAATCATAGGATGAGAATTAGTTTAAACAAAATTATAGTAACATTATGACACACACCAGAAATTACATGTTAACAATAACTCTTAACTGAAATACTGTTAAAGGACATTTAAAATAATAATAATTCTTTATTATCTCATAACTGTCCCATAAACAACATGTTTTTTCTTGACTTTTAATTGAGATCAAGTTACATTTGTAAATTAATTTAGGGATAACTGATGCCTATATCTAGTTTTTCAGTCCAAGGATATGATATGTCTTTCTGTTTATTGAAATTTTCTTTTAATCATTCATCACTATTTAGGATTTTCCTTATATAAATATTTTACTTTTTTCTTTGATGTTTTTATCTTTGCTGTGGCTTTTGCAGATTATACAGTCGAACTGCTTGTTGTTTGTATTTATAAATAATGTTGATTTGTGTGTGTGTATGTGTGTGTTTTGAGAGGTTTTTGCTATAGGGCACATAAACTCTCTAAAGAGACAGAGACAGAGAAACAGAAGGTGAGAAATCACCACCCAGGAAGGATGGCCACGTTACAATCCCTTCTCCTCCATTCTCCTGTGATTTGGGGCATGCACGCGCACACACACCTGGCCGATGTAAGATTTTAGCCACCAGGTCTGGGACTCAACCCATGGTCAACTATGTGGGAGTCCAGCAATGTAACCATTACACCATCTGTTGGTCCCTATATGTGGTATTTTGTGTCTGCTAACTTACTGAAGTTTTTCCTTGTTTGTAATTTTTTAATTTAAAGTTTTGAAATTTTTATTCATGATAGAGAGCATGTGTGTGAGTGAGAGAGAATGAGAGACCAAAAGAGAGAGAGAAGTAGAGAGAAAGCACTCCCCACTGTGGCCTGGTCATGCTCGAATCCTTTTCCTCTAATTCTCCATCCAATCAGGATCCTGGACACATATACATGAACCAGGTGTGAAACCAATAAGGATGGGACTTGAACCCAATTGGCCGTGTGGGATCTGGCTCCCTTTGTGTAGTGCCTAACTACTGTACCACAGGACTGACCCTCTACAGTATTTTTTTTAAAGGTTTTTTGCCAAAAGATGCAAGCACTCACCAGAGAGAGACACAGAGAAGGAAAGTGAGAAATCACTGCCCAGAGGGAGGAATGGCCACATCACAATCCCTTCTCCTCCTTTCTTCTCTTGGGATTTTGGACATGCATGCACAACGTTATTTTCTGGGACTCAAACCAGTATCGACCATGTGGGTTTTGCTATAGGGCACATAAACTCTCTAAAGAGACAGAGACAGAGAAACAGAAGGTGAGAAATCACCACCCAGGAAGGATGGCCACGTTACAATCCCTTCTCCTCCATTCTCCTGTGATTTGGGGCATGCACGCGCACACACACCTGGCCGATGTAAGATTTTAGCCACCAGGTCTGGGACTCAACCCATGGTCAACTATGTGGGAGTCCAGCAATGTAACCATTACGCCATCTGTTGGTCCCTATATGTGGTATTTTGTGTCTGCTAACTTACTGAAGTTTTTCCTTGTTTGTAATTTTTTAATTTAAAGTTTTGAAATTTTTATTCATGATAGAGAGCATGTGTGTGAGTGAGAGAGAATGAGAGACCAAAAGAGAGAGAGAAGTAGAGAGAAAGCACTCCCCACTGTGGCCTGGTCATGCTCGAATCCTTTTCCTCTAATTCTCCATCCAATCAGGATCCTGGACACATATACATGAACCAGGTGTGAAACCAATAAGGATGGGACTTGAACCCAATTGGCCGTGTGGGATCTGGCTCCCTTTGTGTAGTGCCTAACTACTGTACCACAGGACTGACCCTCTACAGTATTTTTTTTAAAGGTTTTTTGCCAAAAGATGCAAGCACTCACCAGAGAGAGACACAGAGAAGGAAAGTGAGAAATCACTGCCCAGAGGGAGGAATGGCCACATCACAATCCCTTCTCCTCCTTTCTTCTCTTGGGATTTTGGACATGCATGCACAACGTTATTTTCTGGGACTCAAACCAGTATCGACCATGTGGGATCCAGTGCCTTAACCACCATGCCACCTGCGGGCCTCTACAATATTTTAAAAATAGACCTTATTGCATTTCAAGGAATTTGTCAAATTGTCTACAAAGAGTCATGGTCAGAATGCCTCAGTGGCTCTTACCTCTCACTTACGAATCACCTGTCTCTTATCTAATAGCACTGACCAGCACCTTCTAGATCAGTGGTAAGTGACAGTGTAACAGTGGACATCCATGCCTGGTATAGAAGAATAAATAAGTGAAGGCAGAGATGCTATTCAGAGGAAGACTGTTGAAAGTTTCACCTTCTTTTAAATACAGAATCACTTTTCTATTGTAACAATATGATGAATCCTTAAAAACAAAACACCACGAGGATATTGAATTTACTTTCATATTTTTATTAGTAAAATTCATTCTCTTTTTATTGGCAAACATGAGCCACTCTGAGGTTTCTCTCACACTCTCATGGGTGAGGAATCCTCTAAGAAATGAAGAATCCTTGAATATTCTGGAGGAGCATAATCCTCTGAACCACCTAAATGTGATCCTCCGGGGTGCCGTGAACCCGGAATCGATATAAACAAGTGTACTTCAGGTGCCCCCAGTTGCTAAGGATATTAAGTTTCACACATAATAAAGATTCAGAAACTTTATGCTGAAAATAAGAAAAGATAGCATTAATACCTTTATAAAGAAATCTATCTCATGGAATCCCAATAAATACTGATATAATGGAAAATTTTAAATTTCTTTCCTTCCTAACAGGAATGTTTTCAAAGACCACTCTAATGGATGAGAAATGAACTAATGAAAGTAAAACCTCATGAAAAGACAAACAGAGAGGAAGGAAGAAAATACAGTGGTCTAGGTGTACCCATGCCTCTGCTGCCAAGGTCCTCCCCCACCCCCCTGGCCCTTGCTGGCTGTGTGTGTGTAAGTATGTATGTGGGTGCTTATACAAAAACCAGACCCATGAAGCCAACTATGAAAACAAATGTATAAGACCAACTGTGTGTGGCTACATCAGCAAACATGAAACTCATTAATACATTCATTTCTAGTACATCTATTGTTTTGCACTTAGATTTTCCTCACCATTAGCCAAGAAGTATCATAAAGCATTTGTTCTTACGTGGTATGAGATGCTTTCTACACTTCCCAGTTGCCTTCTGTGGCTAATGGGAAATCATGAAAATATGTTTATACACTTATAGTGGATTTCAGGGAGGTTATAAGTTAAGAGGTGATTTTTTTTTTTCTTCCATTAGGTTAGGAAGAAAGTTTTACTTTTATCACCTAGTATTAAATGTTTATTCTCTCTTCCTCTGACTTCTTTTCTGTATCCACCCAGCTCCTATTGCATCCTCATCTCAACCCCTTTATCGAAGGAAGATGAGAGAGTGACTACCAAATATAATAGTACCAAGGGAACAGAATAGTTAAGAGAAAGACTGAGAAACTAAATATACATACACACATACAAACATATGTACATACATATATGTATATATATATATAATAGCATCTGTTGAAGAAATTGACTTAGAAACTGCTTTTGTATTTGCCTGTCTCTTGCACTAAAATCCACCTCAACACCAAGAACTAAGAATTAAAGTTCAGATAAGCTTTGCTTACTCTTGCTTTCGTAGTAAGTACTCTCCTACGCCACTTTGCATGAAACCATCCTGATAAACCCATCTTAGTAGTGGGGACCCTATTATCATTCCCACAGCTCCCGTTACCTGGAGTCCAAATGTCTGAACAGTGGTTCCTGTTTTGTTGTATATAAATTGACCTAGGAAAATTTCTTCTCCTTCACATTTTTTTGTGATGCCCTATAAAGCAAGCAAGAGATATGGAGGGTGTAGTGAAGGACTGTTCAGTTAAGATAAATGGATGCAGTGCATGCTCAAGTTAGCAGCAGCTTGGCAGACAGCTTCATGTGTCCACCAGGGACAGGGTGATGTGCAGGTGACAGGCCTGGCCTGTGTACCCAGAGGGCATTTGACTCAGGGTGAATGAGACCAGAGGCTGTGGCAGGACAAGCTGGATAGCTAGAGAGAAGAGATGATAGATAGGTAGAAGGCAGCTAGCTAGCTAACTAGAAGGTAGAAGATAGCTATAGATGGATAGATGATAGATAGATAGATGATAGATAGGTAGATAGAAAGACAGAAGGTGATAGATAAATAGAGATAGAGATAGATAGATAGATGATAGATAGATAGATATAGACAGATGATAAATGAAAGATAGATGACAGGTAGCTAGCTAGCTGATACACGGAGAAAGAGCAAACCTTATTATTAACTCGGCTTAGTAATTATATTGACGGTCGGCATACTTTGAATAGAACAAAAACCAAATGATTAGTTCCAATGTTGACCCAACATCTTCTGAAATCAGATAAACTTTAATCACCATTTTTTAAATGTAAAAACAAAAAATTACATTTAAAAAAATTCCCATAGGGTACATGTACACTGTAGAGAGAGAGAGTGGGATGTGGCCACACCACAATCTCTTCTCCATTTCTCTATCCTGTCAGAATTTGGGGCATTCATGCATATGTGCCTTGGATGTTTTTCAAGCTACCGGGGCTGGGATTCAAACCACAGTTGCTATGTGGGATCTGGCTACCAATGCATAGTGCTTAACCACTGTATCATGGGCTAGCCCCCAATCATCAGACTTTTATCACATATATAACTCCCTTTAAAAAGTAAGCTTTAGTTGATAGAAATATTGATAATTTGTATGCCATTTCCCTTGTACTTTTTACCCTCCTTCTCTACCCCTTGAATTGAAGCTCTTTGAGAGGAGAAGGCACTGATACAAAATAAGTTATTTTGTAACTCTAAAGCTCATTTTGTAAATCTAAAGCTAGGTTCCTGAAGTATGGTAAAACAACAAAATACAGTTCATTTAGTTCAATCATTTTATAGTGAAAATATTAATATTAAAGCATAATAATTTTTATCTAAAGAATTGGATAAAGTACCAGCAGATGATATGATAATTACATCACTGGACTCCCATGTATTTGACCATGGACCATGTTCACATCCTGGGCCCAGTGGCTTAAAACACACTGGGCACGTGTGCGTGCATGCCCAAAATCCCAAGAAGAGAATGGAAGAGAGGGGATTGCAGTACGGCCATTCCCCCTGGGAGGTGACATCTTGATTTCTGTCTTTCTGTCTCTCTGGCAAGTGCACATGTCCTATGGCAAAAATCTCTCTTCAAAAAATAAAATAATTCAATGCGTTATGATTACATAATATACTCACGATTACATACACATGTAATTGAGTCATGTATGTATACAGAGATAGGCATATATGAATCAAGTCACATACTGTTCCTTCAAGAGAGGAACACTATTTTTATTTCCACCTTATTTATGATGCTGTCTCACTTCACTTGATTCACAAATTTTCTAACATAGAAGAAAATGATGAAAAGCAGTTTTTCTTAGTACGTGATTCTTTCCTAATGGAGTCATCCATAATCCCTTCAACTAATGAGCAACTGTGTGCACCTCTCTGAGACAGGGCTTGATCTGTTCAAACTCACCCTAACTCAACTTTTTAGACACCTATCACAGGTTGAGCAAGCTGGTCTTCAGGATAGGAGTCCTCTATTTTGTGACCTCAAAATCATGGAATTTAGAGGCATTCAGACAATGGACAAGAAGGCTGTTTAACACTCAGCACCTCACCAGACAGTGAGAGTAACAGAAACAGATGGAGGTAAATCATATACCTATGAGGAAAACACGGAAGTAGACACTGTTATAATTTGGAAAATGGCTTGTCCCTCAAGGGTTCATGTTTTGGAGTTTGGTCCCCAGTATGATGACTTTGGGAGGTGGCGAGACCTTTAAGAGCTGAGACCTAGTGGAGGGTGTTTGGATCATGAATATATTAATGCTATCTTTTGAGACCTAGTGAGTTCTAGGAAGGGATTAGTTCTCGTAAAACAGGTTGTTATAGAAAGAAGATGGCTGCCTCCAGATGTCTCTCTCTCTCTCTGCACCTGCTCACCTCCCTTTCTGCTTCTTTTGGCCAGATTGTGACAGCCATGTGCCTATGGCTACCAGCCTCATGCCTATGGACTTTCTATCTACTGTAATCATGAGTTGAATAAGCCTCTATTCCTTGTAACTCACCCAATCTCAGGTATTTCTGTTGGCAACACAATAGTAGGCTAAGACACACACTAAGACAAAAAATATGGAGAGGGCCAAATGTTACCTGGAGTAAACACAAATGGCTCTGGCTGCAGGGGAACCAGGCTCATCCAAGTCTTGAGACTTACTATAGGTCTCCAGAAAGGCCTAGGGACTGGAGCCTCATGGGAAGGGGAGGGTACAGCAGAGGCCCAAATCTGAGGCGTGGCTGATAGTCATTTCACAAAGTAGTCAGAGCTCCTGCTATGACACCAGCCTAGCCCAACAGCTCTAAGATGGCCAATGGTGTAGCCCAAAGTACTGAACAAAATAAGAGGCTCAAGCCAGGTCCTACACTGAGCGATGTGCCTTGGCCCTGGTCTCTCCAGCAGCTCCCACTGTGTAGCTAGCTAAGCTAATCCCTCCTAGGCACAAGACTTCGGGATTCCTCTCAAGTCACCTTGCCTGATATCAGCCTCTGGGGACTTTAGAACAAATAGCCCACCCATGTTATCCCACCTGCAAAGGTCACCATTAAACCCTACTGTGTGTGTGAAGCTTTCGGCCAGCTCTGTACCAGTTGATTCATAATGCAACTGAGAAGCATCACAGACATTTGAGAAAGCACCTTACAGAGAAGTTAGAGATCTTACAGCTCAGTGGGAAAGTGGTACTTGGAAATAAATAATGGGGAAAAGACATTTTAAAAAATTGTAATTACTGTCAATTAATATTTCCAGAGGCATAATAGAAGATATCGCAGCCATAAAAGAAAAATTTTAGACTCTAAAAAAGGGGAATATTTACAGAAACAAAGTCTTAGAAAGTATAATTATGATAGCAGAAATGAAAATTTCAACATGGATTAAAATATAAGTTGATAAAATATTCCAAAGGTGGAACAAAAACAGAAGAAAAATAATAGAGAAATGATTTAAAAAAAAAAAAAAACAATAGGGTGGATGGTAAGTTGAATCCTCAGGATGCAGAAATGAAGTCCCATGATAACGGCTGTGTATCAGGTCTACCTAGCAACAAACCAGATTGGAGCACAAAGCAGAGGGCTCCAGAAGGGATATCTCAGTAAAGAAATTAAGAGAAGAGAGGAGGGAGGGGAGGGGAGGTGGGGAACAGAGGGGAGAAAACAAAATAAAGAAATTTTGTAATTGATATGACATGGTTTAACATAACAGGAAAATGTTTGTACTTCAAAAAAGTGTTTGGAAATATGTTAATGATAAGAATAAAGAAGACTAAGTAAATGAAATAAAATTAAGGCAATTATTCTCGGCTACATTTTTACAAAAACCTACCCCCCAAAAAAGAAAAGAAAAGAAAATATTATACAAGGACACTGTATGGCTCAACTGAGAACAATATTTTTCACATAGTCACCCTTAAAACATTGACTATTGATCGAAACAGAAAGGAAGACACACAGCCTAGCAGTGTTTCAAACATTAACCAGAATTAACCATGTGACTCAGCAATTGTAATCTTGGGTTTTTGTTTCCCAAGAGAAATGAAAACCAATGTCCGTACACAAACTTGTACACAAATGTTCACAGCAGCATTATTCATAACAGCTGAAAAGCAGAAAGAACTCAAATGGCCTTCAACTAGTGATAGGATCAACAAAATGTTTATTCATACAATGAAATATTGTGTCTTCAGAAAAGTCGCGACGTATTTTTTTTATGCGAAAATGTGTCGCGACTTTTCTGACAACCAGATACTATTCAGCAATAAAAACGAAATGAATGATGGCCAGTAGGTGGTGCGGGGTTAAGGTACTGTACTCCTACACGGCCTACTAAGGTTTGAGTCCTGGACCTGGTGACTTAAAACTCACACCAGGTGCATGAGTGTGTGCCCAAACGCCCAAGTGAAGAACGGAGAAGAGATTATGGCATGGCTACTCTCCCGATGGGAGAGTTCTCATTTTCCCTCTCTCTGTCTCTCTCTCTGGCGAGTACATGCACCCTATAGCAAAAATCTAAACAATAATAATAATAATAATAAAATGAATATTGACAGATGGATGAATCTTGAAAACATTAGGCTAAGTGAAAGATGCCATTCACAAAAGCCCACGTTATATGAATTGATGTGAAATGACCAGATAGGTAAATTTATGGAGATGGTAGATTTGTGGGGAGTGCAAAGGGGGTAAGAGGGGATAGGGAGCATGGAGTTTCTTTTTAAGGTGATAAAAATGTCCCCAAATTGACTGTGTTGAAGGATACACAACTCTGAATATATTAAAAGTCACTGAAGTGTACACTTTTAATGGAAAATTAAATACCATCTGAATTATATCTTCGTAAGTTGTTTTGTTAAATAAGACATAAACATATTGGGTGATAGGAAACCTTGGAGGAGAGCTAATCTTCATTTTCCCTTGGAAGATGTCTGCAAATAGCAAATAACCTTCACTGGAAAGCCTAGAAATAAAAGTAAAAGCAAATACAGAAACCACATCCTATTGGGGGTTCTCTCTCTCTCTCTTTCTCTGATGAGCACATGTGCCCTCTGGCAAATAACAAAACCACTTCATCTACCCTTGTCATTGTGTACATGGGAAAGCAGAGGTCCAGCACGTGAGTGAGACAGCTAGTTAGTTGCATCATTAAGATGAAAGTACAGACCCTGGGAATTCCCAGTCAACCACCTTCAACCACAACCCACTCTGAATGACAGATTTAGGCAGCTTCTCACATAGACGGAAAATTCCTTTGGTGCACTGGTGATGTTTCCTGAGGGAGACACCTTCTCTGAGATGTGCTCTATGGTAACAGCTGTCGGTATGATCTTCCTGGCCAGCTTTATTAGAGTATGACCCTGAGAACCCGGAAATGCCCAGCACTTTCCAGGGTGGACATCTGGCTGGAAAGAAAGCAGCAAATTAATCTCTTAGCAGGCTATATAAAACCCACCCCTACAATACTGGACAGCTAATCACTATTGGTGATGGATTTCTCTTATTTCTACAATATAAAAGCATTATGTGAGATGTATAGCACACAGTAAAGCTTCCAAGACACCACTAGGTTCAGTTTTTCTTCTTGGGCACTTTATACTTAGACTTTACGCTTATATCAATAACGGCCCTTCATTAGATGAACATGTTTTCTTTCATTGCTCCAACTAGACTCTAAGTTGCAAAAGGCAGCTAGAGGGTGTGAATGATAGTCACCATGCTGATGGCTATGGTGGTGGTGTTGAAGACAGTGGTGGTGGCTGTGATTAGTGTGGTGGTGGTAGTAGCAGTGCCTTATATTCATGAAAATGGTGGCTCATATTCATGATGGTGGTGATGACTTTGATGGTGATGGTGGTGAGAACAGTGGTGGTGACGGGGATGATAATGGTGATGACAGTGATGGTGATGCCGGTCCTGGTAGTAAAGAAGAAAAATGAGGTCTACCATTTTCTAGATGTCAGTTATAGCCTGGAATAGTATCTGTGGGTTTGCCTCTGATGGTACTTCTAAATTGAAAATTGATTTCAGGTGTGTAAATCATCAATGATCGGTAAGAAATGCTCTATTGTCTCTTTCCGTCTATTGCCTTCAGAGTTGAACCAAAAGGTCCAGTGGACATCTTATTTGAAGATTTCTCCTGTTACACTGGACTTAATAAGAACACATGGTCTGAACAGACTTCTCACAGTACTATCACTTAGGGGACAAGCATTTCCAATAAGCCTTTGTTGAATGATTGATGCTTTTAATGGAAAGGGAGACCACAAAATCAACTTAAAGAAAAGATGGAATTTCCTTTTTGATTTCTTTTTAATTTTCATTTACTGACCATAAAATAAGTAATTCATACACCAGTAATGACTAATTTTTTAAAGGATTTTATCATAGGGTACATGAGGTCACTGGAGAGAAAGTGAGAGAGAAAGCGAGAAGTGACACCTCCCCCACCCCCGAGAGGATGGCCATACCCCAATTCCTTCTTTTCCATTCTCTTCAGGATTTGGGGCATTCATGCACATGCACCCAGCATGATTCCCAAGCCATCATGTCTGGGACTCAAACCACAGTCAGCCATCTGGAAGTCCAGAGCCATAACCACCACACCACCTCCTGGCCCCATGTAATGATTATTAAAAATTTAAGGAAGTCGAGCCAGTCAGTTGTGTGATGGTTAAGGTGGCTAGATCCTACATGGCCAACTGCACAGTGCAGGTCCCAGACCTAGCAGCTTGAGAAATATGATGGGCACATGTGCATGAGCGCCCCAAACACAGAAAGGAGGAAAGGATGAAGGAGAAGGGCTTCTGGAGTGACCATGCCTCATGGTGGGGTGGGGATGCTTTCTCACTTTCCTCTTTCTCCCTCTTTCCGGCAAGCACATGTTCCCTCTGGCAAAAATGTTAGTATATATCAGGTTGTCAGGAAAGTCACGACACATTTTTTGCATAGAAAGATATAAAATAAAAAACATGCCATGATTCTCCCGATGACCTAATATTTTATAAGAGTTGATTTCAGGTTCTATACATGTTCAGAGACTTACATTTCCTCTATTTTAAACATACTATTTTCATAATAAATAATAAGGACAAAATTCTAAAATAGAAATGGGTTATTCTAATTTAGCTTTTACCTGAAGAATAATATCTGGAGGCATTTCATAATTTAGGAAACCTATCCCATGCCAGTACAATTTTGCCTTATTATTTTTGTAACTTTCTGAGGTCCCAGCTTCAATGATAGAGGCTCCTAAAATTATAAGATAATTTTTAAAAGAAAAATTACATATATAACTCATATCATTTAGATTTTTAGAAATAATTGTTTATTTAATTTCATTTATCATTATTATTTTTTAATTTGACCAGAGGGAGACAGAGAGAGAGAGGGAAAGTGAGAAAGCAAGCTGCCAGGTCTGGGTCTCAAAGCATGGTGGGCCATGTGGGACTCCAGCGCCCCAACCACCACACCACCTGCCAGCCCCTTAGGTTTTAATGATACCTTTGGAAAACTATTACTGGGAAAATAGTAAATGAGATAAAATTCATACTCAGGAATCATAGGCAAAGTGTGACAGTTTGATTACCTCTGAAAGTTTGTCATTTTGAGAAAGTCATATTGGTTCTGTGAACTTACACAACATTTCTGAAACTGATGTGATAACAAATTGAATTCTGAAACAATTGAATTAAAGATGGAAATAGTATATAGATTCTGTTTATCATATATCTAAAAAGACATGAGGGATCTTTCAAAAGTTCATGGGAAATGTGTATTATGAAAAAGCTATGCATGGATTGCAGAAATTTTCTGTACCAAAATGAACTCATACTTTAATCCCAGTTTTCATGAGCTTTTTGAAGTCCTCTCATCTATGGACCTTCATATTATTATTATTTTTTAAGAGGTTTTTGCTATAGGGTGCATGCGCTCACCAGAAAGACAGAGGCAGAGAGATAGAAAGCTAAAAATCACTCCCCAGGGTGGATGGCCATGCAGCAATCCCTTCTCTTCCATTCTCCTTTCGGAATCTTGGGCATGCACACACACGCACCTGGAGTGAGTTTAAGCCACTGGGTCTGGGACTCAAACCGCAGTTGGCTACATGGGAGTTCAGCAACATAGCTATTATGCTAACTGCTGGACCTTCATATTTTAAAAGTTCCTGGCAGTCCTGTGTACTCCAAAAGAAAGAAAGCAAAAACTCAACAATGTCATTAATGCTTTTCAAGTTATATTTGTAATAGTAGTTTTACAGATTCATTGAACTTTACCTTTATTCAAAGAAACATAAAATATCTCATCAAATATTATCCTTTCAGGCTATTGCATTTTTAAAAGCAAAATGTATTATAAACATAAGAAATAAGGAAAATTCAAAAATCGCTTTCTCAACTGTCATTTAGATAACACAATAGGAAGTTAATTAATGCATGTGCTTGGGCCAGCACGTAGCATGGAGGTTAAGACATCTGGACCCCACGTGGCTGGCTGCGCAGTTCAAGATCCAATGACTTGAAAATCGTGCCAGGCAGATGTACGTGCATGTCCAAAATCCTGAGAGAAAAATGAACAAGAAAGACTTGTGGTGCAGCTATTCCCCCCGGAGTGTAATTTCTCACTTTCCCTCTTTCTCTCTCTCTTTCTGGTGATCACATGCACTCTATAGCAAACAAAGAAACAAAAATGTTCTTGACCAATATCTGATCACCAGTACTTTTTTCTAGGATGGCACAATTTGAAATAGTAAATGTGTACCAGATTTGTCAGATTTAGTAAATAAAAATATACAACTCCCATTTACATCTGAATTTTAGGTACACAAAATAATTTTTAGTAATAGTTATGTCTCATACTATTCTGGAGATATATTTATACTAAAAAAATGTATTTCTCATTTGTTTAAAATTCGTACTTACCTGAGCATTCTTTGTTTTACCTGGCAACCCTAGGCATACCTTGTTCCTAAAGTTGATACGACTCAACAATTAATTTTCCTAACTCAACTGGCTGAACAGCACTACACTTGCAAGTAACTATTGTGAGGGCTGATACCCCACCTCATCTTTTCAAGAAAAAAATGTATGTTGTGGTATTGTGGGGGTTTTAAATGATTTATATTTAGTTCCGTTTTTATTCATTCTTTTTATTTATTTATTTTTAAGGTTTTTGCCATAGGGTGCATGAGGTAGCTGGAGAGAGACAGGGAAATACTAAGAGAGGGAAAGTGAGAAATTACCTCCCGAGAGGGTATGGCCATGCTGAAATCCCTTCTCCATTTTCCTCCTAGGATTTTGGGTACACACACACACACACACACACACACACACACGCATGCATGCACACACACCTGGCATGATCTTCAAGCCACTGGGTCCAGGACTTGAAATGTAGTCAGCTATGTGGGAGTCCAGTGCCTTAACAACTACACCACCTGCTGGCCCTCTTTTTATTTTTTAATCAGCTTTATTGAGATCTCTTTCATACACCATACGGTTCACCCACTTAGCCTGTACAGTTAATTCATTATTTTCTAGTATTTTCACAGAGGAGGGCAAGCCATCACCAATTTTCTAACCAATTCGAAAACATTTAATCAGCCACATCCATAGCAATGGACAGTTGTTCCCCATTGTCCCAAATCTTTCAATGCCAGCTTAGGCCTTCACTAATCTACTCTCCATCCCAGAATAGATTTACCTACTCTGGGCATTCCTTTTGCTGTTTCTCTGTAGTCATCCCAGTATTAGCCTTTTGAATACGATTACTTCCATTTAGCACAATGCACTTGAAGTTCATGAGTACCAATAGTTCATTCATTGTAGTGCCTGTTGGATAGTATTCCACTGTTTGGATGCAACACAGTTCTCACTCATCTGTTGAAAGGCATTTGGATTATACCAGTTTGGGTGATTATAAATACAGTTACTATAGACATTCACATACGGGTTTTGATGTGTATGGGAGTTTTCATTTCTCCTAGATAAACACCTAGAGGTGGAACTGCAGAGTGATAAGGTATTATCTATGCCTTTATAATGCATTGCCAAACTGTTTTCCTAAAGGGCTGCACTGTGTTACATTCTCAGCAGTAGTGTATGATTGCTGCAGTTGCTTCATGCTATGGTATGGCCAGATTTTGTGTGTCATTCTAATAGGTGCATGGTGGTATATCATTGTGGTTTTAATTTGCATTTCACTTGTGAATAATAATGCTGAGATTTGTGTGTGTGTGTGTGTGTGTGTGTGTGTGTATGTGTGTGTGTGTGTGTTTTACATTCCTACTTGTGTATCTTCTTCCAGGAAGTGGCTTCCAAATTTTTTGCCCATTTTTTAATGGAGTTATCTATGATTAAAGCTTGGGAGTTTTAAAAAGAGTATGGATACAGGGGCTAGCAGGTGCACAGTGGCTAAGGTACTAGACTTTCCCATGGCCGACCGCAATTTGAGTCCTAGACCTTGCAGCTTGAAACTCACACTGGGCACGTGTGCATGGGTGCCCAAAATCTTGAGAGAAGAATGGAGAAGGGATTGTGGCATGACCATCCCCTGTGGGGGGAAGTGATTTCTTGCTTTCCCTCTCTCTGTATCTCTGTCTCTCTCCTCTCTGGTGGACACATGTACCTCATGAAAAAAAACCTTTAAAAAAATCTTGGGGAGGGACCAGCAGTTAGCGTAATGGCTATGTTTCTGGACTCCCACGTAGTCGACTGCGGTTTGCGTCCTGGACCCGGTGGCTTGAAACTCACGCCCGGCGTGTGGGCGTGCATGCCCAGGATCCCGAGAAGAGAATGGAGGAGAGGGAACTGTGGCATAGCCCTCCCCCCTGGGGGGTGATTTCTCGCTTTCTAACTCTCTGTCTCTCTGTCTGGCGAGTGCACGTGCCCTATGGCAAAAACCTCCCCCCCCCCAAAAAAAAAGTCTTGGGACCAGAAAATGGTGTAATGATTATGTTACTGGACTTCCATGTAGTTGACTGTGGTTGGAGTCACAGACCCAGCAACTTAAAACTCAACACCAGGCATATGTGTGTGTGTGCCCATCCCAAGAGGAGAATAGAGGAAAAGGGATTTCAGTGTGGCCATCACCCCTGAATGGTGATTTCTCACTTCCTGTCTCTCTGGCAAGCACACATACCCTATGGCAAAAATCTCTCTAAAAGCCTGTTACTTGTCATTTCATTTTCTTAATTGTCTTTTGCAGAGCAGAATTAATTTTGATGAAGTTCAAATTATTCTTTCTTTACCTTTTATATTTGACAAATCTTTTCCTAACTCAGGTGCAAAAGATTTTCTCTTGTTTTTTTCTTCTAGAAACTTTATAGGTTTAAGCTTCATTTAGATCTCTGACCTACTTTTGGTTCATTTTTATAAAGTGTGAGTTATTATATGCATATATTTTTGCATATGAAAATGTACTCGACTTTTCTACTTTGTGAAAAATCAATTTATCATATACATGTGGATTCTTTCTGGACTGTCTATTTTGTTCCATATGATTTTACTAATACCACACTCTACTACTATAATTTTATAGTAAGCCATAACATCAGGTAGGATGAGTTCCTTAACTTTGTTTCAAAGCTGATTTGGCTATTCTAGTTCTTTGCCATCACATACACATTTTAGAAATAGCCTGTCAATTTCCACAAACAATCCTGCTGGGACTCTTATAAGACCATGTTGGATCAATAGACTAGTTGGAGAATATTGTGATCTTAACAGTATTGAGGCTTGAAATCCATTTGGGGGGGCTCAATTTATTTGCTCGTGTATCTAGGTCTTTTATTTATTTCTTTTGATCTTAACACATACATCCTGTGTACATTTTGTTAGACAAAGTATTTTTAACATTTTTTAAAAAGAATTATTCCATTTTATTCATTTATTATCATTCTTCAATTTGATCAGAGAGAGACAGAGAGAGAGAGGGAAGGAGAGTGAGAAAGCAAGCCTCCAGGTCCAGGACCTCAACCACAGTCAGCCATGTGGGAGTCCAGCACCTCAACCACCACAGCACCTGCTGGGACCCTAAAGTATTTCATGTTTTATACTGCTGTTGTGAATAATACGCTTAAAGTTTTCACTTTCCATTTTTTGAATTAAAAAATAGAAATTTATACGTATATATACACACACACATACTTGAATTTGTGCACTTCACTTATTATAGTAGATTTTTTTGTGATTTTCCCATGTGTTTACAGAAACATGGAATCATGCTTACAATTATGTTGTCTGTGACTAAAG